AAAGTTATTTTTGTTTTTGTTTTTTTTTTTTTTTTTTTTTTTTGTCTATATTTCAATGATATATGGAATATGAAATATATGCATAATCCAAATATAATTGCATTTTCTCCATCAAATTAATAAATTAAAACATTGAAATTAGAAGTTATGTCGCCACAATTGTCAAATTTTATCAATAGGCATTTTGAAAATAACATATCGTCGCATAAGGAATAAAATGATAATTTAATATTTAATCATCAATTTGATCGAAGTTTGCTTCCGGAAATTTGACCTGAAAATCATTCATGTCATATTGTAATAGTTTCATTACGATTTGCGATAAAAATTTCGGAAATTTTAATCATAAACATCAAATGTTGATCGATTAAGTTTGTTAATAGTCAATCCTACGAAATTAACCATTTAATTGAATTATTCTAGAGAAACTAAAACATTTGATAGCTATCAATGGTACCGTATCATGGTTAAATGAATTGAAGTGTAATATTATTGTTAAAGATTTAAATTATTAAAATTTAGTTTTATAATTTCTTAAATTTCCTTTTCTTCTTTTTTGTAATTTTCACTTGCAGTAAATAAATTTATTTCATGAAATTAGCCAATGAATGATTTGTAAGAAATTTGAGTTTAAAAAAAAAAAAAAAAGAAATGGAAAAATTTGGAACAAACATAGAATTAGGCATAAAAATTAATTAATTATTAAAATAAATGAACAAATAGTGAAACAAAGAAGATAAAGCTTTAAAAAAAAAAAGAGGAGTGGACAAGGGGAAAAATAAGAAGATGAAAAATCAAATGAATGAATGAAAAATGGAAAAAAGGAATAGGACAAAAGAAAGAAATGGAATGAAATGGAATGAAATGGAATGAAATGAAATGAAATAAAATAAAATATAATGAAATGGAATGGACTGAAATAAAACATAATGAAATATAATGAAAGAAAATAAAATAAAATAAAGTGGGATGAAATGAAATGAAATGGAATGAAATGAAATGAAATAAAATAAAATACAATGAAATGGAATGGAGTAAAATAAAACATAATAAAATATAATGAAAGGAAATAAAACAAAATATGATGAAATAAAATGAAAATGGTATGAAATGGAATAAAATGAAATGAAATGAAATAGAATGAAATAAAACAAAATAAAATACAATGGAATGGAATGAAATGAAATAAAGTAAAATAGAATAAAATAAAATAAAATAAAATAAAAAATATAATAAAAATAAGATGGAATGAAATGGAATGAAGTGGAATGAAATAATTGTAAAACAAAATTAAATAAAATAGAATGAAATAAAATGAAATGAAATGAAATTTAATAAAATAGCGATAAATAATGAGCTTTTTCTTTCATTCATTCAATTCATTCTTCTTTTTCATCATCATCATCATCATCCTCTTTCCTCATTGTCTTCTTTCTTTCATTCTTTCATTCTTTCATTCTTTCGTCTTTTTTTTCTTTCTTTCAATTAATTATTAAGCCTAAAATTGGTGACAACTTTTTGAAATGTAATTATTGATAATAGCTGATGATGAAATTCAAATCGTCCAGTTAGAATTTTTCCAAGTGTACGTCTAAAGCTTGCACCAAAGAATAAATAACAAAAGAAATTGCCAGTACAATTGATAACAACCAATAGATTGGACATATCAACCAAATATACCAATATATGATAAACCTAGAATAAATTCTTCACTTTTTTTCTTTTAAATATTTTTTACCAAAAAGAAAATTTAGAAATTAATTAATTAATTTTAATTTGACCAAATATACTAATATATGATAGACCTATAATAAGTTCCTTTTCTTGAAATATTTTTTACCAAAAAGAAAATTTAGGAATTAATTAATTAATTTTAATTTGTCCAAATATACTAATACATGATAAACTTATAATAAGTTCCTTTTTTTCTTTTAAATATTTTTTACTAAGAAAAAATTAAATATTTTTTAAAAACAAAAAATTAAATATAATAAAAAAATTAAAAAAATTAAATATGTTTAAAAATTAAATACTTTAAATGATTTAAATAAAAATTAAATATAAGAAAAAAATTAAATATATTTAAAAATTAAATACTTTTAAATTTTTTTTATCAAAAAAAAATTAATTAATTAATTTTAATTTGGAAAAAAATTTGCATTTTTTGGGAAAAAAATAGTAAGACAAAAATAAATTATCACAATATGATTATTTTTTCTTTAATTTTTCTTTGTTTTTACTTTTTTTTTGGGCATTTTATATTTACATAAAAATATTATTTGGAAGGAAAAAATTTTTACACGAAATTTTAAGTTCTTTTAATAGTGATATTAAATGAAACATTTAATTGATACAGTTATTAAATTATTAAATTAATTTTAGATTTTTTAAAATTAAAATATTTCACTTTTCTTTTTTCTTTTTTTTTGTGTTCATTTTAAAGATATATGTATATATTTGGATAAATTTTAATTACCTTTTCCGCAAAGACCATTTCAATAAAATTAACCAAAAGAGCGGCTGAATTACAAAAGATGAACATGAAAACGACCAATATAAGACTAACAGTATCAGAATCATCTGAAATGAATTAATTTATTATCATTTATTGATTAAATAACAAGTAATGATTTGATAATAAGTAATGAATTAAATTGAAATTTTCATAAAGCTCTAATTTATTTCGCAAAAAATATCAAAGAAAATGTTATTTACCATTCAAATGGATACTGTATAATTTTATTTTTTGCATTAAAAAATTATTCCAATTTTATTATTTCATACCGGTTAAAAAAAAGAAAAAAACTTGTTACTAATGATGATTTGTTTAGGTTGAAAATATATTTTGAAAAAAAAAAAGGGAAAGAAAGAAAGAGTAAAGGGATAAAATAAGATAATTAGCATTAGCATATTGATAATTAGCATATTGACAAATAGCAAAAGTTTTAAAATTTAAAAAAAAAAAATTATTGACCAGAAGTGCCATTTTTGAGTACAGCTCGTACAACTAAAACATTAAGAATAACAATAAGTAGAAGTGGTCCAACAGCCATAAATATCGTATACATATAGGTATAATATAATTGATAATATGTTGCATTATTTCGAAGTTCTTAAAATTAAATTATCAATTGAAGTGAAAATAATTAATGAAATATTTGAAAATTTATTTTTGAAAAACAAACTTTAAAAATAAAATTTTATATAATTTCAAATTTTTTTTTTTGAAAATTAAAGATTAAATTTTATATATCACAATTTTTGTATCCTTTTGAAAGAACGATCACAATTATTTATTGATTCATAAATTAAAACTAATAAATTAATCGTTTAAAATGATTGTATTTTTGAAAATTATAAAACAAAAAAAGTAATTTTATATTTCGTCTTCTTTTTTCGGTTTACAATTTACCATTTATTAATATAATTTGGAAAAAAAAAATTAATTAACAGATATTATTGCACAAACATACCAGTAGGACAAACTTGTACTGATAATGTATTATTTCGTATTTCATCAATACAATCAATAGCTGTTAATTCAAAAAAATGTGGCACATTATACAAAAATGATATAATTGCAATTGATAAAACAGATAATCGAGCAAATCTGTAAAAAAAAGTATTTTTTTCAAATATCAACTTTTTCATTATCATTAACAAAATATAAACTAAAGAATAGCAATATTGATTAATTCAATCAGTCATTGATAATTTACTTTTTGTTATAATTAACAAAATATAATAATAAAGAATAGCAATATTGATTAATTCAATCAGTCATTGATAATTTACTTTTTGTTATAATTAACAAAATATAATAATAAAGAATAGCAATATTGATTAATTCAATCA